GACACAGGGCGCTTACGGCCACCACGGCGTACGCGAACGCGATACGCGACAAAACCCTAAAAATCCGAAAACGAAAACCAACACGAACGAACAAATAAGAGCAACAAATTAGTCGAAGGATGATGACCGTCGAAACCTAACTTGAATTTCTCCTGCAACGTATTCTGTTCAGCACTCCAGAATACCAACATTTTCCTTTCTTCACTCGTAAGCAATCATACATTCTTATTCTCTTCCAAAAAACTAGCTACACGTCGTCTCGCCATCGTCGCAAGCTCGTTCATCACAATCCTTTTCCTCTCCGAATGGGTGACAAGGTCACTTTCCCGCCATCATTACAATTTCCGCCCCCATCATTACATTTTCCCGCCATCATTACATTTCACCGCCATCATTTCACTTTCCCGCCATCATTACATCATCACCACACTGCAGGTCTCACTCATCTTCCCAGCCTTCCATGTCACCTCCCCCTCCCCTGCAAATAAACTCCCTTGATCCCATAGCAGCAGCACAGAGCACTCTGTCCCTGCAGCGCCAAATGACCGCCATCATTACACTTTCCCGCCAAATGACCGCCATCATTACACTTTACCGCCAAATGACCGCCACTCCCATTCTCTCGCCGCTGTGAAACATTACAAGACCTCTCCACAGAGACAAATGACCGCCCACCCCTTTTTTGGGCTGCAGTACCAAAAGGAATCACCGCACCCGCTTCATAGTGCCACAAGGTTCACCCACCCCTCCCGTCGCCACCCTAAGAACCCTCGTGTACCCTCCAAGAGGAGAATCGAATCCTCAGCCAACGATTTTCGTTTCGTCGATGGATCGATAAGCTTCATGAATAAAGAGATAGTCACCTGCTTTGCCTTGTAGCCAAGCTTCCTGGCTTTGTCAGGGCGCGATGGACGCGTAAGGCGCACAATACCCGGCAGCTGGCGGTACTCCCAGCATCTCACACGGAGCAAGAACCTCAAGACGTCAGACTGCTTCTTCCTCCATAGCTCCTCAATATACTTGTAAGCACCTGCCAGATGAAAACGGCATCAGCAGAATAAGAAGAGGCAGAAAAAGGCCGGTGAGATAGAGCATCGCAGTGGGCAGAGAACAGATAACGATATGCGCTAGAGTAGAGAGGATGGGCTATAGGAGAGACGATGGTGATAAGGAGAAGGGAAAAATCGGGGAGGGGGATGAGATCACAAGGAATCGGCGAAAAACAGGAAAAAAGGTGAGCACATGCGAATCTGGAGAGCGTGAATACGGACGCGGCGAGACTAGATAGCAAATGAGGAAAGACGACGGGCGTGGAAGGATCGTGGAGTGAATCAAACATGATTAGTTGTACTTACAACGCCAAAAAGTGGTGGGAAGAACGGTACAAAACAAATACACTGGAGGTGGTAGTTTGGGGAATCCAGAAAACACAGAGGATGAGGGATGAGGGGTGAGATGAAGAGTTGGGATATGGAGATCAGCACAGGGATGGGATAGGGAGAGAAGTTTCGGAAAGCAAGAACTAATTCCATGCGTTGGGTGGGGGGGGGGGGGGAAGGAAGGCCTGATTTCTATGCACGAACTGCAATGGCTATGGTGTCCTGGCGAAAGAGCATGAGTCACGTACCCATCTTTGCCGGTCAGCGGTGTAGAGAGTGACGGCTATGGTGTGCAGCGAAAGAGGACCGAGAGGCGGCTGCCCACACAGTATATAGATGAAATTTCCCGCTTGAGCCTGCGGTCGACTAACGGGACGAATGTACCGCCCGAGGAAGGGAGATACCGAATCGCTCAGCACGCCCTAGGTAGGCCGATGCACTCTGTGGGCACAGCCTGCCGCACAGCCCGGTCAGCAACCTGGTCACAGTGCGGTCACCGCCCACGACGGTAGGACCAAGGTAAGGCCCAGCATCCAATTTGAACGTATTTCATACGGCATTGTTGGGGGTTGTAGACTGTTGGGTCGTTTCCTGGACAAAAAAGGTGCTGTAACCCTCCACATAGGGGAGCCCTACCCAGTAGAAGCCAAACTCAAGTGGTGCTTCTTGTTTTCTTCTTTTCCTTTTCAAAAGACCAACTGTTGCAGCCATTCAGGTGGCATGTCTCGTGTTCCGGACCGTAAGCTTGGCGAAGGTCTTCTCAAGTGGGGGAAGGGCAGCCTTCCGGATTTCGCAGGCTACAGTGTAGGGCCAGAAGTTGTGGTGCCCCTGACGTTGCATATGTTAGACCCTGGCCGAAGGGGCCAGGCTATTAGACACTGCCTGTGACACCTAGAACTGCATTCCTCAGGCCTAGAAGTGTATTCCTCACATAGGCTTGCAGTAGCATGTTTAAACCACCAGTACACCAGAAGCTAAATGTACGAGCCTAAATTTGAATTTTGCCGAGCCTAAAATAGATCGATACCGCTGCTTGGAAAATAAACGGTGGCACAAGTACCCGCCATTGTAGTTACACACTGGAAGGCTGTCGATTTCACTCGTGTGCCACCGCAGCCAAACTCTCTCCACAAAGCCAGCCCATGTATCTGGCCGAATTCAAGCACCAGATACAGGTGGTTTCAAAGAGATACAGCAACTTTGAAGAAGAAAAAAAAA